CTAGTGTTAAATGACGTTCTGTTTCCTGGGAATTTGCACTTAGTGTTTACTTAACGCACATTTCTGTAAATAATTAATTCTTATTTTCCTAACAGTTTAGTTCTTCAATATGTTATTAAAAATACCTCTGGGGTAATTACAGAGGGCTTATCTCCTATATTAGTTTATAATCTTACTTGTAAAACAGTATGACCAGAAGACAGTTGGGCAAACCTGAGTAGGCCTGGAGTTTGTATGGTCTCTAAAGTGGTTACATGAAATTTTTGTTACTTATTTTTTTAATTGCTTCTAAGGAACAGTTGTACTGAGTATTTTTAAAGTATTTTATGGTTCTGTTGAGAACATGTTGAGTAGTTGCATGGGTTTGGTTTGATCTATTCTATGATTTGATACCCTATGTTGTTGTCTTTCCCATGTTTCTGCAAGAAAAAATGTTGGAATAAAAAATTTAGGGCTAACAGAAGGGAGAGGTCAAGGGATTTCCTCCTTGGCTTTGCTTTGTCTTCCAGATTGTGCTAGTCATAGACAGCACAGTAGATACCTCCTTGGTTGGAAATACCCAACTAAGGCCTTTGTCCCTTTTATCCAGTGAAGGCAGAAAGTGGGGCAGAGGGTCCTGTTGCTGTTCTAAGGCTTCTGAGGAAAATAATGCTCCAGTTTTACAGACAATAAATAGTTGTGTTTTTCTGACAATTTAATGCCAGTTTTAGGGAGAACACGTGGCATCAAGGAAGACCAAACAGATTGATCTTTACTGCTCCTGTATAATGCCTTGAACTTCTCTGCAGAGAAAAAAGCAGCACTTAATTTAGCAAGCTAATGCTGAAAGGGCTTTATAACCTTCATTTAAATGGGCCTCAGAAAATAATATGTAAATAGGCCTTTATGGGGGGAGAATGTCTCTAAGTTGCATTCTTTGTTATCCTCATTAGGAGGGTCTGGATGTTGTTAGTCATGAAAATAGTCAGATTAGTCTGATACACTTATAATACTCAAGAGTGTAAGAAATATCCCTGATGTGACCTCCTTACAGCCTGGCCTGGACCAGCTGAAGGTGTTTCTGCTTTGTCTTTGGAAGGCAAGGAGAACATTTGTGCTGAACGTAGCCACCAACCTGTTACAAAAAGGACTGGGCTTGGCCAGACTGATAATGTTATGTTTAGTCTCCCTTATCCTGGATATTTGCAGCAGGACAGAGATAATGGAGGTTTGCTGGTACATGGACTCTGTGCTCCTGAAAAGTGACGTGGAAAATGTCCTGGTGCCTTTTTTGTGTGCGTGTGTTTGTCCTTTCTTCCTTGACAGGGAACTTTAACCATTTGGGTTCAGCTGTGACCAATAAGACAAAACTTTTGAGTAGTATGTAGGGGAGACTGGGTGGAGAAATGTGTTAGTTTTTACTTTGGATTTTGTTTGATACTATTGGTTAAGTAAAATTCTTACAGTGAAACTTACTTCTCTGTGGTTTGCAGAAAGAGAGGAAGTAACTTGCACAGAATTATAAAGCTAATGGACAACTTGATAACTTAAATATGTTTAGCATAAACATTGTTTCTTGATATCATTTAACAATTTGCCAGTTATATGATTCCTTCAAGTTTATTTCATTTCATCAACATTGTTTTCACAACAGACATGTGGCAAGCTGATTTTATTTGTAGCAGACAACAAATATGTCCACAGCTATTAGTATATTGCTTTAATGTTGAAAGGGGCATAGTTGATAGTAGTGCAGTCCATGGTCCTGGTGGGAAATTCTTCATATCAAAAGACAGGGAGTGACTGGGGTGTTTGCAGCCAAGGCACAAGACCAGAGCATGGGGAATCTGTATTAGATCTGACTGGCTAAACCAGTCAGACTTGTGAGATTTTTAGAGATTAAAAATGTTTGGCACTCCAAGTAATAGAGAAATAAAAGTTTTCTGCAATTTTTTATCAAATAGCACTGGATCCATGAATGAACCATAACAGGTTGATCTCTCACAGTAGTGATTATATTGTGGATAAATGTATAAACAGAGTTTGGTGTGTCAGAGCAGAAAGGCTGAGAGGCTGCTGCAAGATTCCGTAAAATTCCAGATTCTCCAGTAAATTACAGACAGGACATGTTTCACAGTCAAGGTATATAAAACTCATGAATGCTGTTGGAAGTTAAACCAGCTGAGTAAAGGCTATGCTGAAATAATTTATCAATTTTCATGGTTATCAGTCTCTAAAATGTTATCAGCAGATTTATGAATTTGCAGAGATATCTCTCTTTAGTGCTATAGAGAACTCTATTTAACCTTTAACTGCAGCTGTAGAGATTTTCTTCTTATATAACTTATAAAATACTTAAAGCATGCTTATGGTAATTAAAACTGAGTGAAAATGGGAGATATCTGAGATAATATCAGCATGGTTGTTCTAAGAAAATAGTTCATTATGTCAAGAAAATTGAAAATTAATTTTATCCACCTTACTGTGGTAGCCATGAGAGTACCTTCTTGTTGTAGATGGCTGCTTTCTGGGTAAAAAATAATCCAGAAGTCAAACCTTTGCAACAGGAATTGCCTGTATTTGTTTCCAAACAAATTTCCTGGTTTGTGCCAAAAGCTGCTGTATATAATGATATGTATATATGATATGTAATGGTGTGTATATAATGATGTCCCTGTGTGTCCTCTCAGTTGTGTCCTTTACTGGCTGTTCCACAGCAGAGAGCTGGGGGGTAGAGGAGTTGCCTGGATGCTTTGCAGTAGTAGAAGGAGGATTGTTTTATTGATGTCAGGTTATCAGAAAGAGCTGAGTAGCCTGAAGAAGGAAGAGAATCTGGAAGTGAAATACCCAGAGAGGCAGGGAAACTGAAGGATGAAGTGAGCTCACTTAGAAAAGCAAAAAATGAGAAGAATATTTGGCCAAGCTTTTAAACACATTATTTTGAATTTGATGATTGGCATTTGTTTCTTAGATGTGTTGGTGGGTGCAGAATAGGGTAGAAGTAATTGCTTTGATTACACAGGAGCAATTTAGCTGAGATTCATACAACTTTTGTGACTCTCCTTTTGTGTGTTTCCTCTGCTTTTCTTAGCTTACACTGCCTCTAAATCTGTAACAATGCAATGCTTAGGTGGCAGGTTTAAGCACTCAGTGAGTCTTTTTGGATGGAAATACTCCTCCAGTTCTTTCTGAGAGAATTCTCTTCTAGATAAATCGACAGTAGAAGAGAGGCATGGGATCCTGGCATATGAATGGGGAGCAAGGTGCACAAATCTCAACAGTTCAGCAACAAAAGTCTCACCAAGGTGTCAGGCACAGTTTGGGATGGACCCTGGCTGGAACATGAAGTGCATTGCAGAGCACAGACAGACACACTGTCAGTCTGTGCTGTGAAGGACATGGGGGAAAGGTAACAGAAAGTCCTAAATCTGGGAAAGAGGTGGCTGTCTCCTTCTTACCACGTTCTTCTAAATAAGTGGATGTAAAAAATAGAAATATTAAAAAAAAAATGAAAGGCAGGGTTCTCCTGTTCATGCAGTACTTCAGCCTGCACAAGCTAATAGCTGCCCTTGTGTGAAAGCATGGGACTGCAGGAGTGTGGTGAGGGATGTGATGGAGCAGGAAACTGCACTGGAGGGAGGCACTGCCCCATGGCAGCCCTGGGGGGACATGAGCAGGGACAAGGGGGCAGTGAGAGCCAAGGTGGCTGTAGAAAAGCAAATGAAAAATGGAGGGGAGAAATGGAAACTGGGCCAGGAGTAAGGGTCACTTCCAGCAAAGGGGCAGAAGTCCAAATGGGAAAATTGTGTGGGGTTTTGGGGTGTTTTGTTTTTAGTGTGGTTTTGGGCATTTGATGGGTTGGTTTTGGGTATGTTTGGAGGTTTTTTTGGTGGGGTTTGTTGTTTTGGCATTAGGTTGTTTTTTGGTGGTTTTTTTGTTGGTTGAGATTTTTGTTCAAAATAGTAGTTTAATACCAATCTGGTATTTTAATGTAGTTAAAATTGTTCAAAATGGTAGTTTAATACCAATCTGAAAGTAGATGAGCAGCTGTATATTCTATATAGTCAATGCTTTTCAAGACAATTAGTGGCTTTACTCTTAAGTATTCAAACTGCAGCTACTTGTAAATTTACTGTGACCACAGGTAAATACTTGATCAAGCCTCTACCAGCCCTTTTTTTTTCTTTTTGCAGTCAAATGTTTGATAAGGGTTATTTTTAAAGAGGACTTTTGTTTTACTTAAAAACACTGAGTAGTTAACTGGAAGAAATACAATTTTTTAAATTAATTTCTGATGTGTTATTTCAGGCTGCTGCCACTCAATTAGTAAGTGGTACAGATCCCTTTCAATTAAAACTAAAGCAGAATTCCTAAGCAGTAGGGAGACTGTTGTGCTGTGGGGTTTTGTATTTAGTTGTGATATCACATGAGGTTTCTTACCTATATGTGGGTAACAAAAACCTTACACTATTTCTCACGTCTTTCTACTAATCCTGTGTGCTGGATATGTTCTGGATTAGGAATTACACTTTTGCCTTGCCTTTAAATAACACTAAATTTTATTTATTTCCTTCTAAATAACTGCATTGATGCTGTTTGCTTTTTAAAGATTTCTCACTGCATTAACTCATGGCACTTAGCTGTGGAGTACTCTTGTGAACAGGGAGCAAGAGTCCACAATGTCTGCAATATTAACCATTTTTAGACAAATTAAGTTTGTAATTGTTGGCTTATTCCCCATGCGGTAGTCACATACAGTGGGGGCTCCAAAAGCATGTTATGAAGGTCCTGTAATTGGATGTTGCTTGTGGCTGTGGCCACATAACAAATTATATCCATGCTGGGATAACCCTTGTGGTCAACAGATGCAGGGAGTACCAGCTCTGCAGTTAAAAACCCTTTTTGTTCACCAGTGCTTCATGTAAGAATATATAAAAACTGTTATAGTCTTGATGTCTGCTCTCAGAGTACTTTTTGCAAGTCCAGGACAGCCTGATCATGCCCTCCTCATGTCCCTGCAGGTCTGCAGGCCTGCCAGCTGGCTCTGAGTGCCAGGACAGTGTGGGCACGCTGCCCCAACGGGGACATCGCTCGCCGGTACGGCGTCACTGACAAGAATCCTGCAGGAGACTACTGGAAAAAGATTCCTGGGAATGTCTCACGTTTAACAGGCAAGTTGGTGCTGCATGGCAGTCTGTCCAAAACATTGGGATCTGCTTTGAGCTCTACCTGCTGGTGCTCAAGCTGGCCATATGCAGGGAGGGCCACACACACTGTGTTTCACCAAGGGTGTTTTTATCACATTGGTAAAAACCTTCTTTGGGTATAATTGGGAAAACAGATCCAAATATTATTTATTCAGTGTTTAGAATTGGAACCTGCTACTGTAATTAAAAGATGGATAATTTATGCTTTGCAGTGACCCCTCTAGATGAACTGTGGGCAATCAGTACTTCAGGATCTCTGCTCCAGCGCCTCACTAAGACCTTTAGCCATTCCCATAGTTTGCAGAAAAATAATGAAACCTCTGTTCTGCTTCACCCTGATGATTTGGAAGATGAATGGGAAGTGATATGAAGTCTGTCAAGCTTGTGAAGCAGTGAAAAAAACAGGAGGACAGAATTTCTGTAATGTATGTACAGAATATTGGATCTAAGAGCCACTCATATTGGACCTGTGATATTAGCACTTTTGTACTGAAAACTGACCTGTTAAATAGCCCCCAAGCTGTGAGTTCTAATGTTTGTTACATAATCTTTTGGGAGACTCTTTAAGTGTGGCATACTGCAATTGTTATACCGTACTACTGTAAAAGCTCCTTTGGAAATATAACTTTTAAATTAACCTTACTAGCAATGAAAGTGAGTACTTCACAACAGCATGCAACTAATGTACTGATTTTGAGAAGGAATTCTGTTGCATTAAATATTTCTCTACAGTGGAAACATTGAGCATTTCTCAATTTCTTCTTGCATTTGGAACTCCATACCATACTGATGGGATCACTCCCTGACTTTTGTACATATATTTAGAATTATTTTTCCTTGCAGCATGGAAGAAAATATGATGAAGTATTTCTTAGTAAGATCTGAGAACATCATGATTACACAGTATTGTTAGAATGAACTTAGTTTGATCCATTTCCATATAAATAATTGTGAGGCTATACTAACCTTCCATTTCCAGAAATTTTTGTTCATAATTTGGCTTCATTCACAAGGTAGAGGTTTGGATTACACCTAATATCAGGGGGACTTTTGCCCATTTCCATAGCCATCAGGAAGCTGACAGATTTTTGGGGGTGAGTCCCAGTTTGGAATAAGAAGAGGTCTCTTGTTGAGTTTGTAGTACAAAGCAGGAATGTACAAGGCAGTTTTCATAATTCCTGTTGTGCTGTATTTGTGCCTCCAGCCAGTGCTTTAACATTTGGACTCATATTGTTTTGAGTACCAAACTTAGATCCATTAAGAATAAAATGGTAATTGATAGAATTACCTATATATCCCATTAAAAATCGTGATATTGTAAGAAAATACTTAACAATATTCTGATTTTTAGCTATGTTAGCTAAATTCTGAAGTGTCTTATACTTAACAGATGTTGCAACAGGAATATGTGATGAACTGGGAAGTAACCTAAGTTAATCATTGCAGTTTATTTTTCTTTATACTAAATCTTCTTTGAAAGATACCTCATCTTTTTTAAGCAATAGAACTATAGATGAGAGAACCTGAGTTCAGTATGTGGGCGGAGGAGTTATTTTGTGTTTGTTCTAAGCTTATAAATCATCAGAATGTTTTAAGCAGCTGCTAACCAATACTGTAAAAGAGCCAGCTTCAGGAAAGGCCAAGAGTTGAAAAGTGGGGATGTTTCTGTTTTCAGGATTTAACACAAATGGAAAAGGATGTTTTCTTTTTAACCTCTGTTCTCTTCCAGAATAGTTCATGCGTGTACTGCACTAAACTTGGAACAAACATGGTGCAAGGTGAGAATGTGAACTGGGGAGAGAGAAGTTATATTTTTTTTTTTAGTAGCACTTGTGGCGTCGGCTGTCAGTTCTCAGATGAATCTCAGTCCTACAGGAAGGACAGATTTAATTCCCTTTTACAGATTGTTTGCTTCTTTGCTGTCTCATCTCTATACAGAGCTTACCCCAGAGGGATTCTTTTAGCCTGTCTGGAAGTGGATGGTAATGGAATCAGCTTGTGAAGTAACCCAGTCTGTTTTATGCAAGCATAGCTTGGTGTCTTGAGGACCCCAAAGAAGCTGAAATTCAGCTAAAAAGTATCTTATGGCAACTCCTGAGTCAATCACTTTGGAGAAAGGACATGAGACAGAACAACTTCTCTGTGCCCTCCAAGCACCAGATGCTCAAGTACAATGGCATTATTTAATAGTAACACTTTTGTACTGCATTTTTCAAAGTCATCTTAGTAATGGTTTGAGCTTGCTAGTTGTTTATTTACTGTATAATACTGTTCCTTGCTATGGTCGTTAATATTCGATTGGTGTCAAGAGCTCTTACAGACTACTTTTTAGGGTAGTTTCAACAAAATTAGGATGGCGGTTTTTTTACTTTTATTTCTGTATTTAGTTTTTTGGTTTTGTTTGTGCTTTAAGACAAAGTGCAATAAATTAGATTTTTAAGAAATAAATTACTGTGGTAAGACTCATCTTTTGTGTGATTTTCAAGAGAATTCTCTATGTCTGACAGTCTCTTGTTGTGAAGGACTGTGCCCTAATGTTGCCCCAGACAGCATGGTAATGACAGTGTAAGGACCTGAATACTGTGAAGTTTATTTTATCTATTTTTTTAATTGTGACAGGGGTGTCAAGCCAGCAAAATGTTCATGACTCAAGCAAAGACAATTAAACGTGTCTCTCACTTGAATATTATGCTTGTTGCGTCCATATTAAGATAGTCTTGCTGTAATAGCAGTAAAAAAATTTCTTTCCTTGCATGCTGAAAAAAAATTGCATGTTGAATATTTTAGCTCTCAGTGAAAAATAAGCATTTGTGATCCCAGCTAGAAAATGGTGCAGCAGAAAATGGTGTTTGTACCACGTGTGCTGTAGCTGCACCCTTCCTTGAATTATTCATTATCTGAGGACTTCCTGTGTTTCTGACATTTTACTGGAACTGCAGCTGGGCTTTAAGAGAGAACACCTTGGCTTTGCTTCCCAAAAGAGAGCTGTTTCCTGACTGAGTGGGGACCTGGGTAACTTCACACAAGAGAATGTAACAGTGATTAATGAGGCTTCTGACTCTTGAACACACTTCCAGCCCCAGGAATCCTGTTCAGATTCAGATGGCAGTGTCCTTGCTAATTATCATAGCTTTTATCTTGACAAACTGGTTCAGCTGCTTCTCTGACTCCTGCAGGGAAATAGCAGTCTCCTTGCAGCACTGGCTCCTTGCTATTATGCAGGAGTAATCCTGGTGTCACAGCTTAAGGAAGATGTCTGTGATGAGGTGTTGTGAAACCAGCTATCTTAGACAGATGAGAAACTCCTGGTTTTCTTTGTCTCACAGCAATAAAAATAGATAGGATCATGTTAAATGGTGCAGAGAAAGGCTTTCAGCAACAAGTGTCAAAGAAAATACACTAATTCCTTAGGTAAGGTGGTAGAGTTGTTGATATGAAACAGTGCTACTATTAGGAAAATTACAGTGATAAGCACTAAATTATGAACTTGGGTCATTGTCTAAACATAGCTTTACTTGTGCAGTACAAAGCTTCACAAGTCTTCAGCCTCCATTACCTGTTCCAAGAGTGTCTGATGGAATAGACCAGGATCCCCCCTTCTTCCTAAACTCTTGTGAGCATCAGAACCCCATAACTCTCCTACATTATTTTTCAATAGATGAGTTCTGCCAAGCTTTTCAAAAGCACTTGTGGGTTATTTCAGACTTGTGTAACACTCTGTTTATGTTTTTGCTTTTGTCTTGGAACTCCCTTTACTGAATGAGCTTTTGCTAGTTGTTTCAGCCAGTTCTGGGTAGATTTCAAGGAACAACCTTGATACACCTTTTCAGTAAATGCTGTTCTGAGTATAAAGGCTTGAAATTCAAGTGCTTGTATGCCTATGGCTTATCCTGGTTAATTAGCAGTTAGTGAAGCATAAGTTGTTTATGAAGGTACGGAATTCTCCTCATGACTTTGGTGTAAATTCTCAGGTGTCCAGATTTTACACTACCTGGCCCTGTCTACATCCCATCCCTACTGTCAGGAGTAGAGAGGTGAGAGTGGATTGAGGATTTCCAGCTGGATTTCCAGCTGTTACTCCTCTTGCACCTTCCTGAAAGCCAAAGTTACACGTTGGAAACTTTATATGTATTATAGTGGCAAGTAGCAGGAAAGACTGATGGATCCCATGCCAAACAAAGTAGATCACCCTGATTTTTTGATAATGAGTTATTGTAGTTAACCACTCTCACATCAGCAGGACAGAAGAACTTGTAATATATAGGACTGGATTTTAATTACTGGAAAGCGAAAGTTGAGTTGCAGTCATTATCTTCTGTGAATTACTACAACCAGAGCTCTGCCAATAAAGATTAAAATGTCTGGATGAATGAAATTATCTTCCTGGTCTGTTGAATAGCAATATCTGGGTTTATCAGATATTTAGTTATGGATTTCTCACTGCTTGAAACTGAGATGGGAAGTGAGGTTTGGGTTCAGTGCAGGAAATGTTTTAGAATGTTCTGTGGCTGGTATCACACTAGAAGCTGAGTGAAATTACCATGGTGACTCCTTTGGTCTTTGAGTCTAGCTGACTTGAAATCTATTTAAATATATCTATCAAATTGTTGTATTAGCCACCAGGTTAAAATCCTGCTTGATGCTAGTGGAAGAAAAAAAGCATAGAAAAAGTAAAGATCTGTTTGAAAATCTTTGTGTTCTTGTGGATAGTGAACTGTTATATATGTATATGCACATATATAAAAGCTTTGATTTCTGTTCTGAAAAAGCTGATAACAAAATACCAAAAATGTGCTAAATCTTCCAAGCTGAAAAATGCCCTTTCCATTTTGGCCCTCAGAAATTACTTCTAAATACAGTTTTTTATAGCCTGTGATTCTGATAGATGGATTGAATAGTACACAGCTGAATATCACTGAGTGGAGCTGCAGTTATGAATTAATCTTTCAAACATTATTCACTATTTCTGATACTGAAGAAACCAGTGACTTGTTTTTCCATTTTAATATACTTTTCTCATAACCTCAGCTGAGATACACATAGAGGAGATAAAGGAAGGAGACTTCCATTTACAACACTTGTGTTTTGAATCTCATATCCACAGAAAATGTACCTAAAGATGTGTACAGAATTTGATTAACGTTCTGTGCTTACCATTTTGGGTTTGCACAAGTGACTGTGCTTTATTTGTATTCAGTGGACCTGCTGTCTAATCAGTGTGGGGAGCCTTTGCTGAGAGCTCTCTGCTGCTAAGGGTCTGCAGAGGTATCTTGTGTATGGGATGGAGAAGTGACACAGGTGTTAACATCTCTTGAAGCATGAAATGAGAATGCTCAACAGATGACTCCTTGCTGAGGCTGTCATGCTGCTGTATTTTTCCCTAAATGTGGGCTGGATGAATTTAGCTAAGCTCTGCTGGGTCAGGTGGAAGGTCAAGCTAACTAGATCTCTCCCAGAAAACAAATATAAGGCTGGGAGGAAAGTTCCAGGGAAGCCCCCAGCAGAATTCATGGCACGTGTGCCTCACTACAGAGCAGGGGGATGTACCATAGAGAATGAATTTGCTTGAGCTGCAGGGGAAAAACTGCAACTGCCAGCAAGAAACCCCACAATCCCTGGTTGTTCTGGGGAACAGACCAGCCAGCTGATCATGGGAAGTGCAAAGTAAGTAGGGTAATTGCTGGAATGACTGAGATTTTACTTGCTCAGCTCCCACGCTTGTCTTGCTAAATCCGTTTTGTGCCTCAACAGATGGTCTAGGGTCTGTTCCCTCTGTGAGCCGCACCCAGCTCCAAACTGGGGATAAAAACATGAAGCAATGGACCTGCACTTTGTTCCGTGGTGCTGTGGTGAAAGTCAGACCTTTTAAGTTAAGGAGATCATGGTAAATGATGAGTGTAACACTTGGAAATAACACGTTTAGCACTGTTGGTTCTCTTTGTAATTGCTGTAATAATAATGCTGACCTTGTTAAATATTAACATCCATGCCATAGGTACTTGTGTAGGAGATCTGTTGGGCTTCAGGTCTCATTAGCTGGTTACTTAAAATACTGCCAACATGGGGCATGTTTAAAACAGCAACAAAAACATCTGAAGCACGTGTTTGTCTCTACTCGGAATGGATGCACTGGGGAGCTGAATCTCCCTGCTTTTAAGGCCTGCTGATGGCTTTTCATACTGTTTTTTTGCTTAGTGGGGAGATCTTTCTCCTGTCCTTCCATGTGTTTTTACATGATGCCCGTGTAGAGCAAATATTTTGAGGAAAACACACATTGAGTGTTTTGTATGGCACTTTCTTTCCTTCCTCCCCATCTTGCCACTTCTAATTGCTGTAGGATGGGAGTTGAGGTCCAGGGTTGTAGTGAAGCAGCTCCTTCTGCTTTAACTTCAATTTTAATAAAAAAAACCAGAGCTTCAACTGGCTGGGTTTTGTGTCAACTTTAACCTTGTCCTTAGTTCTCTGCAGCATGTTTTTCACCACTGCTGGCTGCTTGCAATGTAGTGGCTTCTTCAACCTGATTTTAATAGAAGACTTTTGAGATGGAAGGGAACGGATGTTTGGGGTTTTTTCTTAAATGGGTGAGATGCCATTTTTTTCCAGATGAGTTTTCAAAGCATGCCAAGCAAGGTGAGCTTGGCTTTCACTTAAAAGGCCATGCTTCATTCAGTCCCTGAGTGTCAGTCATACAGCCAGTGATTTCTCAGAGCCACTTTTAGAAGCAGGTTGGTATCTATCTTGCTGTCAGCTCCAGGGACCTTAAGAATAATGATGTCTCTGCAGAACTACTGCCAAGAGCACAGCCTTCAGTCTCCCTCAGCCTGTTTGTTCTGGGCAGCGTGGACAGGCTCGTAACCTACACAGAATTCCCTGCCTGGTGAGTTTTGCCAGCCTCTGTGGGGGATAAGAGGACTCTTTTGCAGATCTGGACAAATGGGTGGGTTTTTTAGGTCTGTCTCTAAGGATTCTTGCTTTAAGTCTAGGGTTCCCTGCTAGAGTTCCCAAAGTCAGCCAGGGTGGAACACATCAGCACAGGAGACACAAATTGCATCCTTGATGAGTTGTTATTACAAATTCAATTTTGTTCATGCTCTCTCAGGATGAATTTCACCAAACTTCATGCAGTTTTTAATTTTAAAAGTTAAATGTTGAGGGGAGCAACACAGCCCATATTGTATCTGGCATCTACAATTATTTTAGGACATTGAGTGACAGGGATTTTCCACAAGTACCCATCTCTGACCTTGAGATGGTTACTTTTAAAATCCAGTGTCTAATGGACTCAACAATTAGGCCTCTCACCCAGATGATTTGGAAATTATTACCCTGTTTGCATTTTGCATTCAAGATTCTCACTTTTACAAGTACAGCTTGTTCAGAGTGAGTAGATTTAAAATAGCTATTCCCAAATTCTGGAGTGGGTTGACCGGGGTCACCACTAAAACTTC